GCCACCTTAGGTGTATGTGGCTGGCGCCTTAGCCGCTTGAGCCACAGGCGCCGAGCCTAGAATTAATTCTTTTGCATTAAGGTTCATTTTCAAAAAAATTCAATTGACCTAGCACTGTTCAGCAAAAATGACTACTCACTGCAACTACTGACTGCATTATAGCGAATACTCTTAGTAGGGAACAGCGATTGCAGGTCCGTTTCTGGCCTCTCCTTTTTCAGTGGTCTCCCTCTCCCTCTCTTTAAAAGAAAGAAAGGGACAGAGACCGATGAAAATTTGGTCTTTTTCCCTACATGTCCACGGAACCCCGACACGACCTTTAGCATTTCCCCCGGAAGACGAAAGGGAAAGCACTCAAACCGGAGGACGCTATCCGGGACTCCGAGCCTTGCCTGCCTGCCCAGCAGAGAAGGGAAGCAAATCCGACGCGCATGCGCAGCCGCAGCGCTGGGACTGGCTGCGGCTGCGGCTGCGCCGCCTAGGAGCGCGACACCTTTGAGGCGGTAGGATGAAGTTGATTGACTATGGTCTTTCCAGCAACCAGGTATGGTGCTGGGCAAGAGGCAACCGCTGGAGCTAGGGGACGGGCTAGCCGTAAGCCGAGGTGAATCCTGGGCCGGGAGAGGGGAAGCGGAGTGGGGGCCGAGACGCAGGCCCGAGGGAGCACGCCAGCTCCCGATGGCCTCAGTGTCCCGGGGGCGCTGAACTCCAGTGGCAGACTCAGCTCAGCTATGGCGGCTGCAGTCCCGGCTCCGACTCGTTCTTTTCCAGGAATCGGCGCCGGTCCCTGAGATCTCCGAATCCGCGGCGGACTTGGGTGCAGCAGTGCGCCCTGAGCGCGGGCAGTATGTGTGAGAGGCCGCGGCGCCCAGCTCACTCTTGGCTCGCGCCTGTTTATTTCTCCCTCTGCGCACGGACGTACGGGGAGGCCCAGGAGCATGTGCAGGTGGCATGACTGATGTCTGGGGCGCTGGAGGCCCGCGGTACCTAAGCCTGGTGACAGATAGGACTAGCAAAGGCGATCCCATTTTTCAGAGGGCGGGGGAGGGTACTGACCCTTGCGCATCCACTCTTCTTACGCCTCCAACCCTTCTTTGCCGCTTCTGATTGTGAGATTTTGGCCTATGTCTTAAACCTTTAGCGTCCATTTGTTCACATGTAACTTTGTGGGTAATAACACCCGCTCATAAGGTCGTTGTGAAGCATAAATGAGATAGCATGTGCAAGGTACTCAGCTAGCGTCCGGTACGTAATAGGCATTCAACAAATTGTACCCATGTAATTCTCACTATAGTTCCCAAACCCATGGTTTAGTGAACTGCCTGTTGAGAAGTTGCTTTTGAAGTAACTGTGGGTTTCATATAGACATGTTTAGTGAGCAGAATGCTTCTCTGAGTGGAATTGCCAGAAAGTGCTTTTCAGGTTTTCCAACTTGCATGGGGAAGAAAAAAAAAGAGTGAATTTGTAGAGCAGTGGCAGATGAAAAAAGGATCTTATTAGGCTCAGTGCCTGTGGCTCAAGTAGCTAAGGTGCCAGCAATACACACCTGAGCTGGCGCGTTCGAATCCAGCCTGCGCCCGCCAAACAACAATGACGGCTGCAACCAAAAAATAGCCGGACATTGGGGCGGGTGCCTGTAGTCCCAGCTACTTGGGAGGTGGAGGCAGAAGACTCGCTTGAGCCCAACAGTTTGAGGTTGCTGTGAGCTGTGATGCCACAGCACTGTACCCAGGGCGACAGCTTGAGGCTCTGTCTC